CCAAAGCGTACTGCGTGCACAATATGTTAATTTTAAAGTGCAATTACGCCGGAATCACGTATATTCGGTCTTGATCCCCACTCTGTATATTGTGATAATTTGAAGTCACGCTTTCTATCATACTAAACTGTTCACCAAATTTAACAAGTGTTTCTGGCATTTACACTATAGTTTACATGAGCGTAGGCAAGCCTAAATATGTTTCGATTGTATACAGCGCCACCAGTGACTGTCCCCGACTCCATGCGTCTTGAATATTCAAATTTAACAGTATAATGTATTGTTTCCTTCACAAACCAATTGAAAACCCGGTCAAAATCCGCTAAAATTAAACACAGTGAATATTTCCCATATGCAGTGGCGTCTGGGTCATTGAACACCTTGGACTATGAATAATCTAACCACCAAACGTATAAATTTGCGAACGGGTCTTACATGTCCACGTTTGAAAATTGAGTTAAGTTGTTTGGGAAATGCAACATTGAGAAGACCATGTCACTCCAGTTCGTTTGGTCACAGTCCCTCGCGGACTGTGGTTTGGTGGAGAGTACAGGGCTACAACGTAGACGCCGGGTATTGATCGTAAGAGCATTGAGGGCGTAATTTAATCCAATTATTTTCAACATCGTCGGGGCAACACGATGCCACATGATTGATGCGAGTTCAAAGACCGAGACTTTTATAACACTTAATTTGGCAAATGTTGCAAAACTACGCAAAATACAGGCCATTTTAAGGGCGGTGGTCGTCGCATCGCGCATATGCGATATTTGTGTTGATAAACACTGATTTTCACACAGTTCAATGCACTCTTTTGATGGAAATTACAAGTATAAGTTTTGACCTGGACGCGACGTGCACTAATTACCGCAAGTGACTACTTCTAGTCGATTATGTAATTAAAGCTTGCTAATGTCTCAGTATGTACTTGTTAGTCTGCGCAACAGTCACAGTTTTAAACTATGTTTATACGAGACCCATATCTCGCACATGCGTTGCGCGACGACCACTACTTTTAAAGAAGGAGGGTCGTTACCTGCGCACGTGCGGGAATTGAGCCTCAAGCGACGATAACACACGCTAAAAACGCAAAGGCTCATGGGTAGATGCTTGTTTGTAAACAATGACACGCTATGGCCATCTGAGGCATGCGTAGGGGACAACTCTCCCGGCTTTAATATTAAAAATGCATCAAAATAAAGCATTTCTGCAATTCTGAAACCAGATCTCGAGTAGAGCATGTACAGATTGCTTTCAAATTTTGTTGGCACATAAAACCTAAAGGCATATCATTTTTATCAGTTTGTATCATATCTTATCATAAAAGTGTCAGTCAATTATAAATAAAAAAGACAAAGTCTTGTATCTACAAAACCACCACTCTATTAATGACATTTACCATCATACATTTGAAAAAGTTATTGCCTTTTTTTTTCGCAATTGCATAACATTATGCTCTATCGCAGATATTCAACTGTTTTCTGAAAGTCTGGTTTTTACCGATAGTACCAATAGGGACGGAGCAATTTTTGATCACTTGTTCTTAGTTCTGTAATTTTCCTTCTATAGAATGTTTATAAATGGAACAATTCGATGCTTTATTTGTTAGAATTCACCCTCCTCACCAACGCATATGAACAACTAGGGATCCTAGTAGGTGCTCCTTTGTGAAGTGAATTCAATATTCTTTGATGTTGCTTAGTAAATCGATTCAACAACTGATTTAGTTATGCATAACAATTAATATGCAAAATAGGTGATTAAAATATCACATTAATTCAACATTCTTAGACAATTATCTACACAAGCAGTATGCAAGCACAAGTTTTAACCATTTCAGCAAACAGTTGTTAGGACATTGATTAAATATGTGCAAAGTTAGTATGCAAATTATCTCCTGTAAGCTGGAATTAATTTTTAATAAAAAGAAATTATTACTGGTTTTCACAGGGTTTATTTTCGATGATTTGAAATTAAAATATAGAAAACAGAATATTTTCACTGAATTTTATATTCACTGCTTTCTCACTTCACCCAAGATAACAAAAGTAAATTCTAAGTAAAAATAAAGAAGTTTACAGTAATTACTATGCAAAAATTTGTACTAAAATTTAAATGGTCACAAAGTATCTGTATACCAAATTACATCCCAATCCATCAAGTGGTTCTTGAGATATTGGTAGAAAAAAATGTAATTGACACAACTAGACATCAGTAACATGAGCCTATCTTGGTGCTTTGCAAAAAAACAAAACAAAACAACAATAGTCACTTCAGTAAATGGTAAATATTTTCTTTACTCAATTATGACAGAAGTATACATTACAATTAATATTTTGATTGTCATGAAAATTTTTGGGTTTTGTCTTGCATTCATACTAGCTATGAATTCGGGAAGATCTAAGACATTCCAATGTGAATTACGTAGAAGAACATGTCATGCTTTTTATCCAGTGGTATCAGAACAAAGTATTACATGCACTGATGACAGTTTTCAATTGATTTATGGCTATTTCGGAAAAGTTACAATATTCTACCAGTGTGTTGGCTTATCTACTGGTAACTCTACAAAGACTTCCCATCCATGGAAAAGGAAACGGAGGTCCTGACACTTTGTAATCAACATATGACAAAATGGAAACAGGAAAATACAACATTAGGATTAACAACAGAAATATATTTAAATACTGTAAAATACTGTGGAATACTTTTTCACTGGAATTAAATTTCGCTGAAAAGGCTTTTTGGGCGTTCTTTATGGAATTTCATCCCATCAGCAAAAATAGCGAAAATAAATTCGAAGCGAAAATAAACTACTGTAGAATACTTTATTTTCGCTTGGAATTTATTTATGCTGAAGGGAAGATTCAGTGAAAATAAAATCCAGCGAATATACTTTTTTTCCTATATTTCACATTCAACTCAACAAAAATCAGTGAAAATACATTCCATACAAAACACTCAAAAAAGGATTTACAGTGAAAATTAATTCCAGCTAAAATAAAATATGTTACAGTACACTATTGTCTCTAATAGAAGCTTACATAAGTAACAGAGGTGTGTCTATGGTAATACAAATTTGAATAATCTAGTATGCAATGTTACTATGGGTTTACATATATAATCGTGTTTCTTATAAAGCAAATATTGTAGAATGACAATAATCAGATTTCTTCATTTTATTTTTTTATCTAATAAATATAATAACAATATTGGTAAACGGTTTCATCTTTATTAGAACACCGTTCACAGAAATACATACTGCACAGCTCCAGAAAACACGCAAAGTACTGCACATGCGCAGTTCACTACATCAAAAGTCAACTGGATGTTTACCCCAATGCATGCTGGGAGTTCAACGCACTGCATGCTGGAAGTTTGTCATACAGCAAGTTAACATATCTTCAGACAGTATTCATTAGTTTCATGAAACACATCCCCCTGATAAATACTGACAAAATTTCCTAATTTTGTCCATCGGCAAATAAAATTTAAAAATATACTTTAAGTATATATCATCATTAACAATTCGTAGTAAAAAAAATGTATACTCCGATCAATCAATCAATCAACCATCCCATCCCATCACATATTACGGGGTCTGTTATTGGGCATTTTGTAAAATGTAAAGAGTGGATCATACTAAAGTAAGTCACCAGAAAACATACAGTAATGTTATGCTCTTGTTTTGAGTAACATAAACCTTGGTGCCATGAAGTACAGACATATTTTTAAGCAACTCAATTTGTTGTGTTCTCAGTAACTATATCTGGCTCCGTCACTTAGTAATATTTTTTGTTGTTGACATCATTAACTCGGTCAACTGTTGATCTTTATTTGTGTCCAATATATGTGTATTTGTTGATACTTATCATAGCATAGTTTGTGAGGCAAAAAACAAATATCACTGATAGCGGTTTTTGCATCAGGCTGGTATACCTCAAGTTCAAATCCTACCTGAGGTTAAGCACCTCAAAAGATCAAGCCCCTACCGTGAGTAAGTATGCCAAACACAATTGGAAAGTTAAATCCATTGGCGGAATTCTTTCACTAATGGATACAACTTTGACTAAACCAAGGTTAAGATCCTTAAGATGCTTAAGTTCAACCAGGCTTGGTTGACATTAAATTGCCATAATGACACTATGATAGAAAGATAATCACACAGCTCTGAAAAATGCAGTATATGTCAACACGTGCAAGTTGCACATGATGAAAAAAAAAAAAAGTCACAAAAGAGACATCAGTGACATTCAATGCACGGAACTGTCAAAGCGTTTTAGGTAAAATGTTATTAGCCCTGGATTCACAGTGTTGATAAAATTGACATTCAGTTGACGATACCCGCTAAACATTGCCATGGATCTTGCTAAAGCAAAATAAAGTGAATGCGTACACAAATGAACCAAACGTATAATGACCAAATACATGATTTATTTGTAAAAATGAGAAATTAAACCTTTAGTTTGGTACAATTTGGTTTTATTTTCGTTTGCATGGAAACACAATTATGTAATCATAGTATACACATGTTCATTGTGGGCTTTCTGTTTCACCCATAAAAGTTGATTATTAAGCACAGATCACCTTAACAATCTGGCATTCATTTTTAGTAGATATACACAGTATCTTGTACCTTGTGTTGAATATTAATTATACCAGTGCCATGAAGTTATTATAAGGATACCGCAAAAACAGTAAAACAGGAGTATTGACCGACGTGCAGCATACTGAGTGAATACTTTGCGTTATCCTCATAATAACCTTATTATTATACACCCCCCCCCCCCCCCAGGATACATCATGGGAATGTTTAAATCCAGAAAGTTTAGAACAGATTTAGCGAACTTCTTTGTGTTGAGTCCGGACAAACCTTGGGGGCTGCCATGTTTGTTTTTATTATTCAAGGACGCTTACATGCTAAATGGTTATATACTTGGAATTCACATTTCCTATTGTAGTGGGATGCAAATACCCAGTGCAATACCACAAAATTACGGCATGCTGTAACTTATGACGTTCTGATGGCAGATGTATAATAACATACCTCACTAGTTTCTGTGAGTTGAACCAAAGCAGACGTTCTAAGAAACTTACACGGAAATATATATATATTTATACAGTAAAAATGAAAATACTATAAAAAAAACTTTTCATATATAAAAAAATTATCACAGTTGGCTGGCTTTCTCTAAATTTTTACATGCGTCTTTCAACTTTCCGACCAAATCCTGTAAAGATATAAGAAACAAACAAGACTTTGTAACATAAAATATACAATCAAAGAACATCATATGTGGATGTAAAAAGAAAGTATGTGTCTGGTTTGAGGAGAATGGGGGGAAAGGAGCAATATTTGAGAAAAAAAATGTTATAATCTTTCAGTTGTTTTCTTTTATTTTATATGACCATTTTTATATTCTTTTCCAATATAATATTGTGGTACTGCACAGGTTATCTGTGTATTACCATATTAGGATATGCAAATTCCAAATATGGAATGATTTTCAAGCTGGCAGACATGTTATAAAGATAGCGAGAAAGTTCTACTAATTTCTACAACCTTGCTCAGTTTTGGGCTTTATAAAACAAGTAGTTGTATTGGGGAGAAGTATGATAATAATAAGGTTATTATGTGGAAGCCACAAAGTATGCAGTCACACAGTATTTTCAGGTGCATTAGTTTAAGGTGAAACAAAATGTCCCTGGTTAACTTGTTTTATAAAATGAACAAGCAAAAGCTGTTATTTGTTTTTTTCTAAAATTCTGACAAAAAAAAAAGTATTTTTGCATAATTTGCTGGTACGTGCCATCATTAAACCTTTTTTTCTGCTCAAATTTTTATACATTCTTACTTTTGGACTAAACGAAAAATGTGACATTGCTTCTAGTTTTTGATCAAAATTTTCATACAAGAGCAAACTATGAATGAAACTATTCTATGGATGGTGCCTGCAGTTGACTTTGCCAACCAAAGGGTAAACATAACAGAAGCACATGCAGAATTAAGTGAAGATAAACACAAATTATGACTCCTACCTGTAACTGTTCCATGGAACATGCAAATTGCACATCTTTTGTTTCTTCTTGACCTCCTTCTTCCGTTTTTAATGTCACCATATACACTGGTTCATTCACTTTATCAACATGATTATTCTAAGTATACAAACAATCAAAGAAAGCTTAGAAAGAACTCCCATGTGCTGAGAGTATTGGAGACACATTAAATATAATTTGAAATTACTTAGCTGAAAACTAATTATGCAAATCAGAAAATTTATATGAACAGATTTGTGTGAAAAACTAATGAGGTCTGCGCAATGTAACAAAAACTCTATGTACCAAGTTTAATTGAAATGTGATTAGAACCAAAAAAATATGAATTATTATGCTAATTAGGGAATTAATATGAACAGATTTTTACCCCAAACTAATTAGGTTTGTACATTGTCCTAGAGCATCTTAGTACTAAGTTTCATTAAAATGGAATAATTAGTACTTTAGATATCAGTGTGAAAGCTTAAAATTGGTTAATTATGCAAATTGGGTAATTAATATGTACAGATTTTAACCCACAATTATCCAGGTCTGTCTATTGTCCTACAGCATCCATGTATAAACATTCATTGATATGTGATGATTAGTACCTGAGATATCAGTGTGAAAGTTGAAAATTGGTTAATTATGCAAATTAGGTGATTAATATGCACAAATATTTACCAAAAACTAATGGGGATCTGCATAATTCTAGATTCATTGAAATGTGATGATTAGTACTTTAGATATCAGTAGAAAAGCTGAAAATTAATTATGCAAATTAGGTAATTAATATGCACAATTATTTACCCTGAAACTAATCAGGTCTCTGCATAGTCCTAAAGGATCTATGTATCAAGTTTCATTGAAATGCGATGATTAGTTCTTGAGATTCCTGTGGAAAAGCTGAAAATTAATTAATTATGCAAATTAGGTAATTATATGTGCTGATATTACCATAAAAACTATCAGGTCTGTGCAGTGTCATATGACATCTATGTACCAAGTTTCATTGAAATGTGATGATTAGTACTTAAGATATCCGTGGAAAAACCGAAAATTGACTAATCATTATGCAAATTAGGTAATTAGTATCCACGGATTATTACCAAAAACTAATCAAAACCTAGCATTAGTTCAGAGCATCTATGTACCAAGTTTCATCAAAATCCAATGAGTAGTTGTTTAGATATCAGTGGAACAGTCATGGAACCACTAAAAAATAGCTATTTATCATGCAAATTAGGTAATTAATATGCATGGATTTTTACCAAAAACTAATCAAATCTGCGCATATGTTCAGAGGATCTATGTATCAAGTTTCATCAAAATCCGATGAGTGGTTGTTTAGATACCAGTGGAACAGTCATAGAACCACTAAAAAATAGCTAATTATCATGCAAATTAGGTAATTAACGAGCATGGATTTTTACCAAAACCTAATCATATCTGCGCATTGGCCCAGAGCATCTATGCACCAAGTTTCATCAAAAACCGATGTATGGTTCTTGAGATAGCAGTGGAACAGTTGGACACACATACAGACACACTAACTGCAAAGACTCCCATTTTGTGCTTCGCACATGGGAGTCAAAAATGATGACACTGTGAAACCACCTTATTTGCATACTGTCCCCTTCAAGTATCCAATTGGTATTTTGTATAGTTAGGTATCCAAGTGTTCCCATACAAGACCATTACATGGGACACACACTGGAGAATTCGGCATAGTTAGGCACACAATTGTTCCCATACCAGACCACAAGATGCAATACCTACTTATCAAAAGATAACAGAGCGGAGCTGTTCATATAGGTGATTGTCTGTCAGTGTCAATCATCATTTTTGATTTCCTCAAAAACTATCAACCCAATCATTTTGATAAATAATATGTAAATACCTTGAATGGACCCCTAAATGATTTTTTTTTTATTTTGTGACAATATCATCAATTTTTGTCATTTTAGGTAAAAAAAAATATATTTTCGAATTCTTCTTAAAAACCACCAAGGCCAATTGAATAATGACATTAGGTTGGCATATTCTTAACAGCCAGAATCAAACTACTTTTTGTGAATTAACTGCATTTTGGGAGTGTGTTACTTTACTTGGCTACAAAAATGTTTTCTTGCATTTTGACTTTCAAGTCACTACTTAAAAAGCTAAAATGAAATTTTCACTACTTAAAAATGTAGTAGTAATCACAGACTCATGAAATTTGAGAATATTTCTCCCTCAGGAAATGTAAGCAGGTTAGAGGTAACACATTATTTATGTCCTAATATTATTTGACATACTGGGCATGTACTACTGAACAGTGTGAAAGTCTTAGATTATGATTCCCATAAGCAAGATTGACTCATGTTTATTTTCTCTTGTCCCTACCAATCGAAAATCATCACGCAACATTGAGGATCATGATGATAACAGATCAAAGCTGAACATGAGGCTGTTCAATTAAACTCGTCCCAAAAATACTTTTTTATCATAAAATGCTGTAAATTTGGAGAGATGGGGGATTACATTGAGACAGAAGTTTATACTTGGTCAACTATGGTGAAGCAAACATTTTCTGTATTTGTGTTTATGCAAATTAAAAGCATTTGTCTATCCAACATTTATCCATACATTTACATTAATTGAAATGATATACTGTAAAATTGTAAGTTTCAGCTGAAAAGATATTTTGACTGTTTTGTATGGAATTTATGTTCATTGATATTGAGTTGAATGTAAAATATAAGAAAAAAGGTATATTCGCTGGATTTTATTTTCACTGAATCTTCCCTTCAGCTGAAACAGAGAAGATAAATTATTTTTCAGCATTCAGTAACAGTAAGCTTTGTTATTGCACATACCCCCCGGTAAAATCGTTTGACTAGTGGGGGTTTAAAACTGTAACCCACTCAAAATTGTACAAATATCTATATATAAATGCATGGTGTTTTTATAAGCATTATATAAGATGTTACATACCTTTAAATAAAAATCAAGTCTCCAGTCAACATCTACAATATGCGGTGGTGTGTGTCCTATATTACTTAGTAATGCTTGAATTTCAGGTTTTTTACTGATAAAAATTTTATTGAGGATATCTATTCGATCAGCCGTGAATTTGCAGTCTTCAAGAATGGTACTGAAAAATACAATTTATAAATGGCTCATCAGGTTACTACTCTTGGCAAAGGTGCCTCAGACATGACTGCAATATCATTTCCTTGCATTTACAAAATGAAGGTGGCGTTTTAATGGATTGTTCTTGGTCCAAAGGTCATACAAATTTCTAGGACAGACAATTTATGCAATAACAGCAAACCTAGAGTCAATGTCAGTAAAATATGAATTACCATAGTCAATATCAAGGATTTATGTAGGAAACACTATGGAACAAAGGGGTGGTGTTGTGAGATCATAGCCCAAAACAACTTCCAACTATCCTGTGGTGTTAGCTACTTATACACTTAATTTGAAGTACAATGTACTATACAAAGTCAACATAATCTTCACTGACCACTCAGCAGCCAGAACCACACCTACTTTACAACTTCACTGCTCAAAATCATAACTGCACCCTATCTACAATACAATGAAACTTTCAAGTCAGCTGCTTCAAAGTTTGCAGTGAGTAATTATGATAATTCGGCTTGTCTCTCACTTTTGCAAGAAATCACCAGCAGCAACGCGGTCACTAATTGGCTGCTGGCACTGGCAATTACTTGGCTGGTGGATAAATAATATAAGGGTATGCAACTGGTGTGATATGCAATGAAGATCTGAATACAAAGTCATGCAAATTGCAAAGTGGTCACAAAACAGGTCAAAGTGTATGACATAAAAGATTAAAGACATTTTGATTCCAACAACCAGCTCTAGATTTTTCCCCATCCCGACTATAATGATGTCATTGACAATGAACAGTGTTTTTGTTTTTATATAACATATTCTCAAAAATGGTAGCAAATTTCAGTCTGGAACACTGGACCAAACAATAAATGTAGATTAAGGATTAATAACATTTGGATACCAACAACCAGCTTCTGATATGCCCCAAGCCTGACTACAATGAGTCATTGACAATGAACGATGTTTTTTGATATAAAATAGTCTCAAACATCGTACGAAAATTCATTATGCAACACTGAACCAAACAAAAAAAGTAGACATCAGTGACATTCCAATATATAAAAATACAAACCTGATTGTTGATGCATCGCTGTCATGTTTAGCAGCTTCCAATACTAGTGTTACAAGGGATGCAAAGCAGAGTTTTAAAACAGCACGGTCTACATTTGATAGACCTTCATCATCTGAAAATAAGTATAACTTCATTAAAAGACATGAAAAATATTTTAGATTCAGAAATTTAATTTTTTTAAATAATTTAAACCACACACACACTCATGATCAGAGGTAAACTGTCAAAGCTATCTGGTTTGTATTTTTTCTGACTCGTTTAAAGTTGGACCCTATTACTCTATTTTGGTTCCAGTCAGCAATTTATACAGACCTGATATGTGAAGGGTGTGCAATTATCCATTTTGTTGATAATTTTTTATATTCTGAAGATGCGTGCAAATAATATCTCTCATGACACAAACATACAAACATGTTGGCATAGAATTATTTTAACTTATGATATAATGACGTCACACAATCATATAACGATGCTACATCAGTATTTATAATGATGTTGGCTTATACTTTAATGAGAATACACCATCATATAACGACTTTATATAATATAACGATGTCACACACAACCATATAATTGTGCTAGAGTATAATATAATGATATTACATCACTGTATAGAGGTGTATGCGAATAATATACAGTTGAACAACAATATAAGACAGCATCGGCGTTCCATAGACCAGCCCCTGTGGGCTAGCTGTGTAGCGCACACCCACAAACTTATCAAACATCCTCAAATCATCTTTCCCCCCAAACAAATCGACATCCTTACCGAGCACGGAGGTGTCAGTGGAATCTTTCAAAAGGTTATCACACACTCGGCGAACAAGAACGATGAAAGCTTTGTCCGAAACATGTGCGCTGTCCCCACAGAGCTGCAACCCTCCCAAGGCCTCGACAGACAGCTCCATTTTGTTTTATTGTGAGGCTTCCGCACATATGACCTTTGACCTACACACTCATTGCCCGCGAGAATATCGCGAGATTTTGCTACTTCAACGCTTATGACAATGGATTGTTTATTTCACTTTTGTCGTCTGCTGTTTTATGATACTGAAGTTGTGTCCTTGAATCATTTGAGGTAAATTTGAGTAGTTATTTTCTTTATTTATACCGCTAAAATACTATATAGCGCTATAGGTACTTGGCAGGTTTCAATTTCAAGAAGACTTATCGGTCGCGTGATTTCAAGATTAAAGGGCTGGGGTCGCCGTAGCCCTGCGTACAGTGCTGTGTGTACGGGAACGCGTTTGGTTGACAGATGTCCCCACCTTTGGCTGGTTCCCGCCTCAAGTGTCATGGCGTACCAAGCCACAAGAGGCCGGTAACTAGTAACGGTTCCGGCATTCTGATTGGTACACCACTTTCTCGTTGCTTGTTCCAATTCCCTTAGTTACCTGACGTCAGCGCTTACGCTCGTGGCCGTTCGGGGGTTTCCTTTTAAAGTTGGGCGAATAAAAAAAACTGTTTTTTTTTTGTTATAAATTTGCATAGAACGTAACAAATCTATAAATCTAAGCAGGCAGTATGTATGAGCATGGCTTTATTGTAGTATTACAGACACGTTTACGCAGAACGGAACTTGGAATGTTTTCAAATTACGTCACTCAGTCACGTGCCTTCCGGCCGGAAAACCGGCCCAAATGGAACAATATGGCGATTACTAGTTACCTGCGTCCTACCTGCCATTCGCAAAGGACGCCGGGAACCAGCGAATCCCCACCTCAGCCCTGCGTACCTCCATAGACAAAGTCCGGGAGCGCACCGTAATTGGTGCGCAAGTTAAAAATAAGTAGTTTCCCAGCCGAAATATTTTGAAATGACGATAGTTATCCGTAACAACCATTACAAAGTTATCTGAAACTGAAATGTTTTTAAATAACAACTAGTAAAGACGGTCAAATTGTAAACGCGTAGGTACCGGAGGAATTATCCACCAAACGCCGCCATTTTTTATTTCATTCACGCGAGAGAATGCGTTTGTTTTTAGGGCAAAGTAGCCGATTTCATCCACAATTGGACTCCGAACTGTGGGAGTTCTGGATATATCTGGTAATCGATCATCATTTTGGGTACCTGGTCATGTTATTTCATTAAAAAAGTTATATTTTTCAAAGTCCCGGACTTTGTCTATGGAAGTTCGCAGGGCTGTGGTGGGGACATCTATCAACCGAACGCG